TATTTTTTTTTTTTCTGTCAAGCTAATCCCAGCTGTGTGGTAACCATGTCTAAAGCCGCGGTCACACTGGCCTAAAGGGTCCATTGACTTCCATTCATACGCATGCGAATCCGTCAGACCGGCAACACAAGCCCGTGCGAAAAGCTTCGCATTTCACGGTGTTGCAAAGTTCAAGCTTGGTGAAATCTGACCTGTGAATTCGCATTACATAAAACCATGTGGCCAACAGCTGATCGATAGGTCACAGCATGACCTCATAGCTGAATTAAAATAACATATATTTAAAACTGCAGGAAAGTGGAGTAGATTGTATGTTTTTACATTTTAGATATATTATTATTTGTTATGTGCTGAATTTAAGGGGAGACACTGCAGGCAAAAACACTTTTTTTTTCATGCACCTATCAAGTTTGAGATTTTGGGCTTTTTGTTTTTTTATAAAGTGTTTATTTCTTTAAGAGAAGTGGAAAGAAAACATCCAAAAGAAAACATCACATTTTTATTCCTGTCTATATCCTGAAGGTTTTTACAGAGGGATTTGTTCATATATAATTTGCTTGATTATATACAACATTTTATTCCCCCCAAAATTGTGAAAATATAGTGTTTTCTGTCCGTTCTAAGCATTTTCTGGATTATGGAGTGACAAAAATGAGATTGAAAAAGACAGAAAACTTTTGACTCTATAGATTATATATATTATAATATGTCAAAAAAATTTAACAAGAATTTTGAAACTGACATCATCCAGTGTTTAGATTTTTGTACTAGAAATTTATGCAAAATAACGCATATTTCCTTAAATAATGACTCATTTGCATATTTAAACCTAACATTTTAGAAAACTTGTAATACAAAAAATGTTTGCAATTATCAATGTAATCAATCAGCTGAGAAAGTAAGGCGATTCATTTATTTTTTTTACCCTATTCACCTGCAGTGTCTCGCCTTAAGTTTGTAAAAAGACACTGCAAAACATGACATCATATCATGGCCGCCGAATGAATTCCCGCATCTCGCCAGAAGATGGCGCCCGCAGCTGAATAATCAATCCGTTCATTTTTACAAAGCGCTCATCCATGCGTACAGCATAATGTACAACACCGGTATAAATTCATTGTAAATTGATTATTAAATTGTTTGATTAGGGTTTTTACATAATTTCCGTGACAGAGTTCAAGATAAATCCTTTAATCTTACTGGAGCTGCTAGTTTCAAATGATTAATAAACAGCAAGCACAAACTATGCAAAAGCGGCATTCCTTCCGGTGCACTCAGTGTCCGAATTCACTACTCGTTTTCATTCACTCCTTCTAGTGAACTGAATTAGTGACCTAATGTAGGGAATAGTGAATGAGGGTATAGGGGGCGATTTCGGACACAGCCTGTGTGTGAGTCGAGAGCGCAGGTTGGACTTGTTAATGTTCATTACAGAAAATGCCTGCTCACAGAGATATGTAGTCCCGAACATGCTGAGGATTTTGGACGCAAAACCTGTCATTTTGGGGAACGTCGGTCCGAGGTTTTGATAAAATAAATCCACAGTGACTGATGCGAATTTGTCTTTCAAAGGTGTGTTGCACTGCAGTTCGATTAGTTCCATTTGGAGTTCCTCCGGTACATCTGTTGCGCTCGCAGTAAACGGTGAACGGAAGAGAGAGAATTCCTTCTCAAGTTCATTGAAGACCTGGAAGCGATTCTGAAACTCATTCTGCAGACCAACAATTTTTTCTTTGTATCTGTCCATGTTGTCTTTGTCGTGAGCGGTGTGCACAGATTTTAAAGAGGGAAAATGAGCTGGGTTACCATGGGAAAGCTGTGTCGCCCACAGATCTAGTTTCATCTCAAATGCGCGAATGCAGTCGTAATATTCAGTTACGACTTTGTTGCGGCCTTGCATCTTAGTATTGAGCACATTTAAGTGCTCGGTTACGTCCACCATAAAAGCAAGATCACGAACCCACTCGGGGTCATCCAGCTCAGTCATTGGTTTTCCCTTGTCTTTCATGAACTGACTGATTTCTGAGCGCAGTTCAAAGAAACGTTTGAGCACGGCTCCCCTGCTCAACCAGCGAACTTCGGTGTGGTAGGGTAGACTGTGAGGAATATCTTTTTCAGATAAAAAGGCCTCAAATTGCCGATGGTTGAGCCCCTTTGCTCTGATGAAATTAACAGTTTTTATTACCACATTCATAATATTGTCCATCTTTAGGGTTTTGCTACACAATGCTTCCTGGTGTAAAATACAATGAAAATTCCAGATTTTTTGGGTTGGGTTCTCTTTTTGCATTTTTTCTTTTAATTTTGTCACAACGCCTGCCCTTTTCCCGACCATGGATGGAGCGCCATCCGTTGCCACACTAACAGCGCGACTCCAGTCAACCTCCAGTCTATCCAGGGCACCAATGAGGCTGGAGTAAATGTCGTTGGAAGTAGTCGTGTCTGTCATTGGAACCAGCTCAACAAATTCTTCCGTGATGTTCAAAGATTCATCAACTCCACGAATAAATAACCCCAGCTGAGCTACGTCGTTAATATCAGTACTCTCATGGAGTGCTATAGAGAAAGCAATGAATGTCTTAACTTTGTCTTTCAGCTGACGGTTCAAGTCTCTTGCAATGTCCTCAATTCTTTCAGCCACAGTATTTCTTGACAAGCTAATACTGGCAAAAGCCTGTTTTTTCTCAGGGCACACAAGGTCCGCTGCCTTTATCATACACTTTTTGATGAATTCTCCCTCTGAAAAAGGCTTTGATGAGTTTCCGTAAGAATATCTCAGTTTCCCGAGTGGACCGGTCTTTTCCTCCGTCAGCAGCGCCGCTGGCAGAGGCAGACCAGCGGGGAGATGAGATTCACAGAGGTACGTTAAAACACATGTATACACTTTTCTTCATCGTCTTTTCATCGTATGAATTATTTTAATGTTACTTGCTCACTTTCCTAGTAAAGCTGTGCTAACCAGTATTTTCCTCCCCACGTGTAATCACCTTATTTGTTTTATACCAATGCTATCTGTAAGGTATAAATGCGTTTGGGTGAATAAATGTCTGTAAGAACATCGGATGGACTGTATTTGTGTCATTTTGTTAGGTTAATGCTTCAGCTACAGATGATGTGTTGCGCAATTGTTAATTGGGTTTCTTTCTTTAGTAATGGCATTCATTCTCGCTTCATAATATACCTGTCTGTTATGTAGTGCCCTGTTATACTGGATTACTGTGTAATATTTATGGTTTCTAATAGCCGTGGCATCATTATGATGGTATGAAGAGATGGATTAATTCATGTAGGACGCCACTGAAGGCCTAGGTGTAAAATGCACGGCCTGCCACTGATGGACAGATGCCAGTTTTGTGAAGAAAATTAAACTAATTTAGTTTAAGATGCAAAAGCCTCTAAGTGCCATTTGAAATTGTATTCTAAAATTTGCATTTTTCTCAGACTCCTTTGTTTACGTTCAGTTGTTTCACATTAATGGCAATGAAAAGAAACTATTCATTGCCATCAAAGTGAAATTACTGAACCTACACATAGGAGCCTTATAAAACTGCTCATTTTAGAAGAACATTTCAAACGGCACTTAGAGGCTTTTGCATCTGAACTCTTCAAATATATATATATATCAGATCCGGATGTGACAGCCGTCTATTGCTCCAGCTAGCACATGGAAAGCTGGAGACCCAGCCAGCTTGCAAAACCTGCTCCCACTGCTTCTAGGCCATCTGCGGTGGGAAAAACAATCAGCCTCCTCAAAACCCTGATGACTCCACTGCTCACTCGGTGCACAATGTCATGCACAGAGGACTTGGGGATGTCAATGGCCAGTGACACCACCCTGTATGAAGCTGCGTATGATGCTAGCCCGTAAAGGAACACCAGCACTTAAATATTATGTTTTTCTATAATTTGTGTGTGTGTGTGTGTGTGTGTATACAGTGCAAACATGTCCCTGCGGAGACCACGTTGGCTTTTTGCGGGCACAGTGGGCTAGGGCCAGCCCACACCAAACCTAAACAGGCCCGGTGCGGGCTTGCCCAGGTGAGGCCCACAGCTTTGGGCTCATTTCAGGCTCTCTGTGAGCAGGCCACACTAGTGGACTGTCCACATTAATCCTATGATGGCCCATTGTGGGCCAGCCCGTCCGGCCCCAGAGCAACTTTTGTATCCATTGGGCCCATGCAGGTTTTGTGTAGGCAGCCCTGTAATGCAACTAGGAGAATACAAACAACATTGACTGGCCATTCTTTAGCCACTCAATTGAAGTGGAATGGCACAAACCAAAAGAGACCTTTTCAGAATCTGTTGTTTCATATAGGCCAGGGATCCTCAAATCTGGCTCACGAGATCAACTTTCCTGCAGAGTTTAGTTCTAACCTTAATCAAACACACCTGAGCATGCTAATCAA